CACATTCACACCCATGCATTCTCTAAACTGAGTGCTTCCTAACTACATTCTTACACATTCATACTCCGATGGATACATTAGAGAGCAACTTGGGGTTAGTATCTTGCCCAAAGATACTTGGCATGCAGACTGGAGGAGCCAGGGATCGAACCACCAACCTTACAATCAACAGGTGACCTGCTCTACCTCCTGTAGCTCAGGAGGTAGAGCAGGTCACCACAATATGCCACCTCATATGACTTTGAAGGTAGTTAAAGAGTTTTGAAGTGTTCAGCAGATGAAGAGTTGTTATTATTACGTGACACAGCATCACACATATTAGTGAGGTGACAGCATGTTCTGCTGTTTTTTTTTTTTCATTGTGTAGGTGGAGCCTGAAGTTTCCTATGCCACCATCAGCTACACCAAGAATAGCAACAGTAAAACCCAGGTAAGCTGGCAAAGACTGTCTAATATGGTTAATGTTGAATATGTGCAGAGGAAGAAGCTATTACATTTTTGATAGGCTTCAGATTACTTTCATCAAAATTGCAAAATAAGGCACTGAGGACTTCAACGTTATTCATTTATTCATGTTAGTTTATGTATCATACAAATTCCTTTTGTTTTTCCAGGTTCATCGTGATGGTGAAGGTGATACTGTGACCTACAGCATGGTGAATGCTCCATCCTCTGCATCCACTGCTCATCCCAGCAACCTCTATTCTACTGTCAATGTTGCAATCACATAGCTCACACAGTTGGAGGAAGGACTCTTATTTAATGAAGCAGTCGAATAAAGGACTCGTATTTAATGAAAAGGACATTTTGGTTTTGACTTGAGGCAGTGTGATAGCAACATGCTAATTAAGTTATTGCTGTTTGTAGCTAGATTGCTTCACAAGGTTGTCTTAATGTTGTTTTCATGGATGTTGAGCTTAATGTTTCCAAGAGATTTAATAAAATGCTGGTTATTGGAAGAGTGCCGAGCTGAAACCCCCACAGGCAACCCGTGCCCCCCCCAACCAAAGAAACATCAACACCTAAATTAAAAAATTATCGTTTTTTACAATGTTTATGAAAATACAGTTGGTTTCGTTGCTACTTTTACATGACTATGAACTGCTCAGAATCTCTAAAAGACGGCTGGGTGAACAGAGAGCACAATTATTACACCAGATATTCATGTTTATGTTTCCTTTTTTAGGTTAGCACACAACTGTGTAAATAAATGTCTCTTTCTCTCTTTGTCTCTCAAGACATTTTAAACATTTCATTGTATAAAGCTGAACCAGTATTTTTCCATAACTTAAAGCAAGTATCAATATTGTGGCGAGCTCAGAAAAGGAGGACACGGAGGTGTCGTTCGGTCTTGCTTCCGTGAGCTAGCCAGG